CTAGTCCTGTGGAATGACACCCTCAAGATCTCCACGACGGGGGCAGCTGTGCGATATCCAGGAGGAGTTTTGATGAAGGACCAGTGATGTTGGTGTACCATAAACCAGAGGCCTTGAATCAGACCAATGATTCATTTGCAATGAGCATTTGCGCGTAAGGCTGATTGGACAAAAGGGTATGCTACGTGACACACCACAGCTTCCAATGTCACTAAGATGGATGAATGAAGAAGTGTTAAAAGATGGAGGAGCGAGGTGTGTTTTTTGGTTGTTTTGATTAATTGGGGGGGGCATACTGCAGGGGTGATGTATATGGAGGGACTGGGAGGTGAGGGAGATTAGGGTACACAATGTGAAATTTCCAAAGATTCAATAAAGAATTATGTTTAAAAAAAGATATACAAACAAAATGTAAGTATTAATACCTATATAAATCTTCCTAGTAATTTGCTCAAACTAAAAAATAAGTATTTTGGTAGAAGAAAAGATAAATATTATATATCCTATAAGAATCATAGATCTTAATAATTGGAAAAACACTGATGAAGTATTTGTTTGTTCATTCATTTATATTCTTCATGCTGCTGCTCAGAGGTTTCAGTTGATTTGGATTCAGAGGACATATTTTTAGGCAATAAAATATACATCAATGCAGAGAATTAAAATCAAAGAGAAGATGACAAATTTATAAACAAAACAGAAATGCCTGAGTATTAGTTGTCACTTTCCAACCTCCTTGTCATTAGGGGTCCCTGTGACATCATCTAGCCAGTGAATTCAGGGGGAAGTGATGTAAAGTATGTTCAAACTTGCCTGTCAGCATCTCATGCAAACTTTCATCTCTCTATTCTGCTCCTTCATGTTGGAGACTCCATATTCTAGATGGTAACAATCCAATCCAAGAATAAAGAATGCTGTCTGGCCTGTTTTTTTTTGTTTTGTTTTGTTTTGTTTTGTTTTTTGTTTTTGTTTTTTAAAAAGGAATGACAGAAGAAATATCTAGATTTACTTTGGTTTTTCTTTTTCTCCATTTGTTACATGCCTCAGAAAAAGACCTAGTATTAGGAATCATGCAAGCTCCTGAGGCCTAAGCCAAGATTCTTTTCTCTAGTCACAGATGAAGAAAGAGTCCTTCAAAGGGTAGGGGAAGCCTGGGTCTTTTCACTTCTGAACATGCCACAAATACTCAGTGATGTGACTTTCTGTAAGGGAGCTGAAATGTGAGTGCAGCCTTCTAGCCAGAAAACTGAGAGAAACAGAAATCACAGCAGCTTGAGGAGGAGGCCCTTTACATCTGTGTACTTCTCTATGAGCCATCAGAGTGCTTAGGCTTACTCCTGAGATGTGTGTGCTCAAGACAGATGTGAGAGAATGGTGAAAGCTTTTGTGCTGAAGGACAGTGCAGACCACACCCAGGTAGCAGCTTGATGCTCAGTGGCTCACAGGGATGGATCCAGACAACTATAAAGGTTCCAAAAGCTGGACCACTGGCATAGAGGCAGCCTCACCATGTTAGCTGCCTGCTAAAATAACCACAATGCTCACTAATTCTAGCAGATTTTTCCAAGACTCAGAGACTCTTAACACAGTATTCAGAATATTCAGGTGCTGTACTGAAAGTTCTTCCTATACAAAAATATCAAAATAAGTTTGATACTTAAGAGACAGCAATCACCAAATGCCAACCTAAGAGACAGC